TGCCTGGGAAGATCCCACTGCTTTTAGTAAGCTTTTTGATGCTTGCCCTGATAGGATCACCCTGCACCTTATAGCTTTGGTTTGCAGGTTTAACAGGAACTGATTGGAAAGAATCCATGTCCCTAGTGACTGGTCCGCCAACATCTTTGCGAGGACCTGATTAGACAACAACCAGAGACCATGAATGAGTGTCGGCTGAGACGCCGTCCGGTGTGGAGGGCGCTCTATAAATTCAAGTTGTTGTTGTTGTTCTCTGTCCTAATGGTGCTGAGACCAACTGTACCACCTTTATTTCTGCTCTGGCTGTGATTCACTTCCCAGGAAGACCAGAGTTGAAACCTGGGACCTTGCTGTCTATGTAGATTAGTGAGTAATTATTATTATAATAAGCATTGAGAGGATTGTGAAGTGAAGCATGCTTCAAATAGATGAATAAATGTATTTAGTTTGATTATTTCTTTACTTTCATTGTACCTGGCTCTTCTTACAAGAGCTGATGAGTAGATGGCGTGTGCGCAGTACATATTACACAGCAAGGCCAGTGAGTAGTATTTTCACATGTTCAAAATATTTTCTCACCAATGTGAAAATATCAGTGGGTGGTGAAGAGAACAACAGTGAATGATGCTTGCATCCTAGAGATGAAATGAATATTAATCAACAGAAGCATTGACCTGTTGTCCTCTCTATTTTGCCCCTAAATACCCTTGTGCTCATGAGGGTTAAATGTGATTCAAAATAGAGTAAATCATATTTATTGAATTTGTGAATTCTTTATATAGACCACATTAAATTAAAAAATTCTGACCTCAATTGCTCCATTTGCATAGTTTGATGATCATTTAACTGAAATGCTGAAACAGTAGCTGTATTATGTAGTCAGATAATAATAATATAAAATATCCTTGCATTCGATATAGTGCCTTATCACATTGTTCAGACGTCTCAAAGCACTTCACAGAATATATCGTAAAGTGGATATACTGTGTAATTTGTGGGCGAAACCCAAGATAAAAATTTACATTTATACAGTGCCTTTTACATTGGGACAATATCTCAAAGCACTGTACAAAGTTGAACTGGGTGGGAGTGAAGGGGGGAGCTGAGGAGAATGGGGGAAGGTGGCTGAAATCATATGTGTTCTGGCAGACCTTGAAGACACAGAGAGGAAGGGCAAGGCAAAGCACTGTGGGGTGGAGTTCCAGAGATTGGGGCAGAATGGCTGAAGGATTGCCCACTGATGGTGTGGCAGATCAGGTGGGGAATGTGAAGCCAGTCAGTATTTGTTGAGGGGAGACAGTGGGGGAAAAATCAGTAAAACACCAAATTTGAATTTGAAATAACACAGTTCCTTGTTTTTAACACGAGTATAAAAGCAATGGACTGCCATCATTTTGTTGAGATTGGATTGTTGAATGAATTAACAAATACACTGTTTTATGAGTCGCATCTCCTCCCCTAAAGAATATTTGTTTGAAAAACAACTAAAAGGAATAAACTACAGCAGTATGGGGGAAGGGCAGGTAAATGGTACTGATAGGATTGGTCTTTAATAGAGCCAACACAGACATGATGGGACGAGTGGTCTTCTTCTGTGCTGTTAATATTTATGATTCTATGGTTCTGCTTCAAAGAAGCCAGTATCTCCGGCAAGGTACCCAGTTTGAGAAGAGGGGAAACAGGAGGAAAGGTCTTCAACCTTTTTCACTTGTAGCTTTTAGGAATCCTCAACCAAACATGAAAATTGTACATTTCTTTGTTGAATAGTTATGTGTCCATTAGGATTCAGCAGCTACAAGTCACTCAATGAGAGAAAGTCAAGCAACTGCACGCTCAATTCAAATGTCTGACCCATCTTTACATTTCCCTTTCTTTCCGTGACATTGCGCCCGTTAAGGATGGTCTGTTTTTGCTTAAAGACATGATTTTATTTCTGGTCCAGTAAACCTTAGCTGACCTTGTACCTTTGACTGCTTTCCATTAATCCCCCAAGAATAAATTTCCTGTTCACTGCAGTGCACCAAATGTGTACTTGCCAACTTGTTCTTAAAAAGAAAATAAGTGAACTGACACATTCAGGTGTTCAGTGATGCTTTTCTTGTTAGGCTTTTTCATCAGCTATCAGTGGAAGTTTATATCTGACTTTGAAAAAGTATGCTGTAACAGAGGGGAGAGGGGCTCAAATATATCAAAACCATCAGGAATCCTCAACCAAACATGCCTTGCTTGGTACATTTCTTTGTTGATTGTTGAATATGTCCATTTGGTGCGAAAATGCAAACATTAACAAGGTTTACTCTTATACATAACAGTCAATCTTTTGAAGCATGATGGAAGAGATTGTGGTCTCATTTGCTTTTTTTCAGCCCAAGTCATTTCATGTTCAACCTTCCTTCCTACCCTCCCACCGAACCCATCATTCACCTACAGATTGCAGGAGCCCCTGGCCTACCCGCTCCGAATGGGTAATTCCTGAGCAAACTGTCCTCAATACAAGAGAGTGGTGCAGCCAGAGAGATCATAACACTCTGCTATACCTCCTTGGTTACAATGGTCCCCTATTTTCCCAATTAAAGTTACTGCAGACACACTTGGCTCAGGAACCAGACCACCAAGACCGCCAACTGTTTCCTTCATGTACACAATATACAGGACAGAAACAGGCCATTTGGCCCAATTTGTTTTTGCTGCTCTTTAGACTCCACAGGAGTGTCCACCCACTCCTTAGTCCATTCCCTCCTCCCCCGTGTGTATAGCTATCTTCCTCTTAAATACATCTGGAGTATTGGATTCAACAACTCCTTCAAGGCAACAAGTTCCACACTCTTACTTCTCTCTGGGTGAAGTAGCTTTGGTGTGTTACACAGCTTAGTCCATTAAAACCCAGATTTGTGAATAATAACAGGAACATCAGAAATCAGGAAAAGAAAAAGTTATTCTGCTTAACAAGCCATGGCTACTACATCCTAATCTCAACACCATGCGTTTTCTGCTATATGCCTTATTATTTTTATTTCCCAAATATCTATCCAACCCTCTCTTATGCCCTCAACCATTTTTCTCGATCGGTCGCATTCTGAGATTTACAATGAGATGCATTTTTGAGTAATCCTTGTCTTGAACCTAACCCATTTCGCCTGTTTAATAGACCTCCTATATACCCAAGTGTGGCCAAACAATAAGAGTGGAGGCAGAATTGTTGATGAGACCATTTTGAGTCGAGTAATTTATTGAAAAATCCTTCCTGCTCCTCAGAGGAATTTGAAGAATATATTGCTGTCATGGAATGAAGAGGATATGGAAAAACAATCCTCTGTTGTCCTGTACTTCCAAGATAATTAACTATCTTCCATCAAGGAGAAAGGTTCACCATTTTGCTCAAAGAACTCTTTAAACTTTCCTATTTATTAAGAGAGGATTCTTATCATAATTGAAGATTTACATTGCTTTTGTACAGATTATAAACTCCCTGTTCTTCACATTTGTAAGAGATTCTGGGATATTATAACCAACCATTATTTAAAAAACATCCCAGCAAACATGTTAAATATACAGATTTCACATTCCTATCAAATCATCTCACATCACTCCTCTAAAGTTTGATTATCAAATGCATTGTTAACCCATAAAGTGCCATCATTATTTTACACCATCCAAGCTCATTGATTGAGAGTGTCAGTGTAGTTGATGCCATCACCATTCCTGTAGCCTCATGTTTTAAGACCTGAAAAATACTATCAAGCGGTCACCTGCAAGTGATCAGACTGTCCAACATTCAGACTTCCAGGCCCCGATTGATTGAATACATGGCCTCTGGAGCTGGTTCTCAGTTAGTCAAAGACCAATATATTTTTGAATGTGGATTCCATATTCAAAATGGATGGTGTATATATAAGAAAGGAGTATGAGACAGAGTATTTGTTTTATTTCGGTCAGCCAGACATCAAACACATGCATAAATACATCAGAGTATGCATAAACGCTCTGAGATGCCGTAGGTGGAGGGCGCTATATAAATCCAAGTTGTTGTTGTTGTTGTAAACACTTAAGAGTATGAAAACCAAAGTGCAGTGATTGTGTGATTTTGTGGACTAATAATTTATACTGGTATGAATTCTTTCCCACCCATTTAATGTCTGGGAGAAATGTTTTGCATCAGTGCTTCTTATCCCTCAAAAGGTTATGAAACAAAGCTTCTTGTTCCTTAAAAGGTTATGAAACAAAACTCCTGAATATTCATTGTTATTGAACCAACCCGAGCCTGGTGACCTCTACAGACAATACTCCCCTCAATCTAGCCCCAGCAGTACAGTAGCTATTATTTTCAATGGAGTATTTGATCATTTCACTCTAGAATAAGTTTCATCAGTTAGAAAAACTAAACATTCAGTTCATTTGTTCAAAATGGAAGGCAGAGAATGAGGAGGAAGAAATGGGGGAGGAAAGGGAAGAATGTTTAAAATGCTTCTTTCATTTAAAATTCCTTTTAGTATTTAACTAGCTTTATAACATTAACATAAAATAATTACGCCCCTTCATTGTGCTATTTATTCAGCACAACAAAAGTGTGAGCTGAAAACTAAAACGTTCCAGTACCAACTCCAAGTCTGCCGATGTTCTATCAGCTTATCTGGCAGACATCAGGGCCTGGATGAGTGCAAACTTTCTGTAGCTGAATGTGGACGAGACGGAAGCCATACTACTTGGCTCCTGTCAACGTCTTCACTCCTGCGAATCTGAACTCCTCAACCTCCCTGGGCTCTCCCTCACACTCACCGAACCAGTGCACAATCTAGGCATTAGGTTCGACCCCCAGCTGTCCTTCCTCCCTCACATCTTGTCCCTGACCAGGAACACCTTCTTCCACCTCTGCCACATTGCCTGCCTCTGACCGTACCTTACCTCAAATGCAGCCGAAACCCTTGTGCATGCATTTGTCACCTCCTGCCTTGATTACTCAAACGCACTCCTCGCCAGTCTCCCCAGCTCCACTACTGTGGAGTCCTGTAGCTCAGTGGTTAGAGCATTCGCCTAGCAAGCGAGAGACCTGGGTTCAATTCCCAGCAGGGTGAAACCTTGGGCAAATTTCCTTACTCCACTCACGTGATAATAATCCCTCAAGAAAAAAAACAATAATAAATTGGTCACTTCAATCCATGACTATTTGTGGCACACTGCTTTGTGCAATTGGCTGCCGCGTTTCACCCATAAATATACAGTCAATTCACTTTACAGTATATTCTGTGAAGCGCTTTGAGACGTCTACAACAACAACAACAAGATTACATTTGTATAGCGCCTTTCATGTCGGAAGGACGTCCCAAGGGGCTGAAAAGAAGGTGTGAAAAGTGTTATATCAAGTATCAAAAGATCGAGCTCATTCAAAACTCTGCCACCCGCATATTGACCCGGACCAAACTCTGTACCCACATCTCACCAATTCTGGCCAAGCTCCACTGACTCCCCACACTGAATGAGTGATGGGGAGTCAGTGGAGCTTGGCCAAGAGCTGAAACACCTCTGAAAAGCACTAAAAGCCAACCTGACGTAACTGTCAGGGGACAATTAAACCAGCCTCAAATGCCTTTTAGCATTCTATGGGACTTACATATAATAATGTTTCATTTATTTACACTTACCAGTAATTACTCATGCAGCACTTTGAGATGTTTTGACGTGATAAGGCACTACACAAATGTATGTTCTTTCTTCAAAATGATCACTGTAAATATAGTACTTAAGGGCTAAAAGTTAGAAATAATGCTTAATGAACTTTAAAAAGCCAGGCTTCACTGGCTCCCTATCACCGAAAGGATCGACTTCAAGATCCTGACGCTTGTGTTCATATCCCTTCACTCCCTGGCACCTCCCTACCTCTCCGACCTCCTCACTCCCCAATCCACCACCTGGCCCCTCTGTTCCACTGGCACTGGCCTCCTGCTTGTCCCTCGCACCCTCCACCCTACCATCGGAGGTCATGCTTTCAACCACTAAGCTCTGAAACTCTGAAACACTCTCTCTCTATCCCTCCAGCTTGTAGCAAACACTAACAATTCAGTAGATTAAACTAGTGACATATTCATCTAATTCAACAGTGAAAGAATGTGCAGGTCAGTTGAGTTATTGTTTCCTCTTAGTTATACTTCTGGTAGGACAATTGTCACTGGAAAGCTTTCCCATTAACTCTGTCTTTTAGGTAGCAATGAATATGCATCATGGGTGCCATTCACTAAACAAGAATATTCCCTCACCAGGTACCCACTAAGCTGAAGGTGACTCTAATCAGCTTGGTGAATGTGGACATTAGCACCAAATCACCCCAGGTTTGGAAGCAGCAGAGGTTGTGAGAGTGGCAGGATCAGAAGTAACCAGAAGCAATAGAAATAAGGTAAGTGTTAGAGGAGTGGGAATGTGTTGTAATTGGGTTAATGTTTGGTCGTAAAAAGCAAATAATATGAACCAGATAAAGCTCAAATTCCATTTTCCACAATGTTGCAATTCTCCTAATTGAAATCATTTGTGGTATTGCTGATAAAACAAAACTACTATTTGAGGAAAAGTTGCAGCTGGAACAACCTCTAAGCAGATCAGCAAAAACTTTGTGCACGGGGAGGTCATAACCTTATGAAACCGTGAATTGCTCAAATGAATAATTTCTGCAGTCAATAGAAGTCACCTCTATCAGGAAAGAGAAACAAGGAGATGTGTAGGTACTGCAGCCTGTCAGGATTGTTAGCATCTAGTTTAGCATCACTTTTGACCCCAAGATATTGGAGTTTATGACGAGGTGCAGGGTAATTAGGGGAGAGCTCATAGCCTATCACTTATAGCAGCAGTAATGTAGTGAATGACAGCTTAAAACTAAAGTAAGATGGATGATAGAAAATTCTGTGCTCTGCTGCATTTTACTGAATCCACTGTATGTGAGAGAATTATATGCTGCATAGAATGGGACAGGTTATCAAAAAGGGAATATGTAGTATCACATGTTGGTGGATTCAGAGACTGCCACGCTCTTAAGTGACTGATGAGAAAATAGAATTGGTAACGAACTTGTCAGAAAAAANCATCAATACACCATCTTTTAATAACATTGCTGTTTCTGACATGAAATATTGAGGATGGTGATGCAGTGCAGATTTCTTTCAGATGTTCAATGAAGTATAGGAATAGGAGTAGGCATTTCAGCATGTCAAGCACGTTCTCTCATTTCATTAGATTATGGCAGATCTTTAAGTTCCATTTCCTTGCTTTTTCTCCATTTCACTAAATATCCTTACTTCTCAAGTATCTATTCATAGAACCGTAGACATTTACAGAACTGAAGAAGGCCATTCGGCCCATCGCGTCTGTGCTAGCGTTTTTAAATAACACATCTTAAAGAGCAATCTATCTCCCTTTTACATCCCAATCAAGCATTTTGTTTTCCATTATACAATCCTAACACATCCTAATGTCATCAAGAAAACAGATGTGCAAAATACACACATTTGCACTGAATTTAGAATTGATTGTGATTTTTGATTAAACAGATTCATTTTGTGAACATTCAACTATGATGGTTAACACTAGGCCTCTGACAAATTGGACTCCATATTAGAAATCCAAGATTAAAGCTCAAACTAGGAATTGGATTCAGGTATCCTCTACTGTTGGATAAAGCAGAGGAGTCTGTTGAAGAGAGAAAAGGAAAGTTTGTCAGGTGCAAATCTATTTCCTGTGTTACTCATGTTCATTTCCTGGTTGGACAAGGGGTAGCATTGATGGCCTCTGTGCAAAGGTTTGAGAAATAGATCAGAATTTTGTCTCAATTCAAAGAATAGCAAAAAGGAGAAACTGTAAACAGTGATGAAATATTGAATAATTGAATATAAATATAGAAATGAAAGCCTTTGTTTCCTATACATTTTTGAACCAATAATTATCATATTGAATCGGTTACCAAACATCATCATTTCCTATTACCAAAGACTATGTATGGATTTGATCTGATCTCAGGTGAGTAAACTTGTCCGACACAATAGATTGCTCAGTTCCTCGAGTGACCATTCTTACAGGATGAAGCTTGACCTGCCCACATCAATTATATTCTTCAGTAAATATTAATATTTTTGGTATTTGTGTGTAAAATTAGCTTTTGGAACTAGTTTCAGCCAAATAAAGACTAAGGTTATCCTGATACCTCCTGTCTATGGTTGAATAGTGAAAATGAAGGGATTGCTAACTTATTGGGTTCAGGGTTTATCTAAACAATACTTACCTCTAGGTGAAACAAAAACAGAGAGAGCTGGGAAAACTCAGCAGGTCAGGCAGCATCTATGGAAAAAGGAAAGTGAGTCAACGTTTTGGGTCCACGACCCTGCGATTGGGTGGGATATAGAATAAGGCACAATATCAAAATGCAAGGATTATTTTTAGTGTTTGATATAGTAGTGCACATGGGGAGTGCAGTATTGATGAGCTGAATGGTCATTTCTTCTTCCATCTTTTATGCCAAACAGCTATCACTTTTTTACCAATGTGAACCTGATTTGTAAACCAAAAATGCTTGTCTGCAACAGCTCTTGAAACACAATGTAGGCAGATGGAAAATGTGAGCATTCACAGTTCAGTCAGGTCTGTAGATGTATTTGTTTTTCTGCCACAGATAACTGTTCTCTTGTATTTATGCAGAGTGGTAAAGTATAACTTTCCACATTGTATTAGCTCCATTAAATCCTGCAAAGCGATTTGAGACATAATAATAATAATCCTTGCATTTGATATAGCGCTTTTCACGTCGAGAGGACGTCCCAAAGCGCTTCACAGAACACACTGTAAAGTGAATTGACTGTATATTTGTGGGCGAACGCGGCAGCCAATTGCGCACAGCAATGTCCCACAAACAGTCGTGGATTGAAAATGACTAATTTAATTATTGTTTTTGGTTTTGGAGGGATTATTATTAGGCGTGTGGAGTAAGGAAACTTGCCCAAGGTTTCGCCCTGCCTGGAATTGAACTCAGGTCTCTCACTTGCAAAGCGAGTGCTCTAACCACTGAGCTACAGGACTCCACATCCACCCAATGTAAAAAAAACTATATAAAACGCAAGTATCACAGCTATTGTAATGCAACTCAATTACAGTACAATTTATATTTATACAACAACAACAACTTGGATTTATGTTGCGCCCTCCGCACTGGATGGCGTCTCACTTTTCACATTGGGACGACGTCACAATGTGCTTGAAAATAAGCTCCTCAAGAAAGCCCCATTCTGAATAATTTTGAATGGCTATTTCTTCAATCATTGGCAGTGGATAGACACCGCATTGCCTGAGAGACGTTTGATTATCCTATCTGTCCTTGTTCCTCAAGGGACAGGGTGCAAGGAGATCACAGAAAAATGGCACATGAGAGCTCCCCAGTGAACACAGGTCTGAAAAGATTGTATTTAATAGAAAATTTGACAGCAAAACTATCTGTGTCTCCATGAACCTCAAAAGAAAACTACACACACTCTCTAGATATCTTGCAGTTTACATTACAGTACAGTAACCCCAGATGATTGCTTCGACAGCACAGTGGCAAGGATTTCAAGAACTGTGTGGCTTCAATCATCCAACCACAAAATAGAAAAACATATGGTAAGTTATTTACTTCTCTGTTGCTTCTGTCAAAAGGACAGTAAATAGAGCTAAACTAACGATGACAGGAAGCAGCAAAGTATCTTCAAATAGAATTTTAAACTTTGCAGGGCATTTTTGTCAATTAACTTTAAAACAACGTCATCATTAAAATCCTTAGCAAAAAGATAATCCTTGCATTTGGTATAGCACCTTTCACATTGGGAGAAAATTTCAGTGCACTGCACAGGATTTACTGTAATGTGTAGTAACTGTGCATTTTTATAGGTAAATAATGAAACCAATTTCCATACAGCAATATCTCATAAACAGCCATTAAAGTGAAAGACCTTTTTGTTATTTGTGGGGATTATTGGCCAGGACGCTCTCTTCTCTTTTCAAAATAGATTGTTAATGACCACTGAACGGGCAGACAGGATATTGTTTAAACGTCTCATCGAAAGGA